TGCGGTATGTGACGTCATGCGCCCCGCCTCCAGGATGGCGGCGCGCAAGAGATTGAGGACACAGAGTGCTCTGACCATACAGGTGGGGGCGAGCAGCGGGGATTCGAGGAGAAGCTGGAGCCTGTGCCGCTCCTCTTTTCCCTGCCGAGCCGCAGCTGTGTTGGCTGCCTGCTGCCCCTGTTGCCAATGGTGCCCTGTGCTCGCCATGGCAACAGGGGCAAGGCCTGGCTGCGCCCCCTCTGAGCTACGCCTGAGGCGAGTGCCTCACTCGCCTCATGGTAGCTATAGCCCTGGCTGGAAGGACCGGTCTAAGGCCCCATTCACACTGAGCGACACTTACCTCGAGCGGATTTCCGCGCGGCCAGGATAGCGCGACTGTTCGGGGCGACGATCGTGTTACCTTCACCGTCGGACTGCATGCAAAAAGAGAAAAATCGCTCGACATCCGCGGGGAAAAAGGGTCCCGCACAACCGACGCGAGAAGCGCGACAGGCGACATGGAGCTGTTAAATAGAACAGCTCCATTGAAAATCATTGGACGAGCAACTTCTCGCGATATCGCACGGCAAATATGCACGATATTGTGCGATTAAACGTGCGATTAAATCGTGCGATTATACACTCAGTGTGAATGGGCACTAAGAGCTCAGAGGATCGGGTGAGTAAAACTTTTTTATTTTCCTCCCTAGACCAAAACAAGCACTTAACCCTTGCAGTGCTCGGGTAGCCCCACTGCAAGGGTTAATACATTTTTTGGCCAGAGTTCTTCTTTAATATGACGGCTCGGGGTGCCATACACCTAAAATACACGGCACAGAAAGCCATATTCATTGCAACGGGCCGCTTGTGGTTGAAGCTCACTGCAGACTTCAGGCTTTGCCCTCATTTATACAAGATGGGGATTCTACATTCTATTTACAGTCGGCATGGCTACTAGCAAGAGAAATGCGAAATTGCTTTCGGCAGCATTAGCCAATCAAAGCTCGCTGGCGGATTGAACTTTAAAGGCCATTCTAATGACATAAAATTACTAAATGGCTTTTGTAACAATCATCATCCTGTCTGCGCAACATTTGTTCCAGATCATTTTAATGGCAGTTAAACACGGAAAAGCCGAAAGTCTCATCAGAAGTGAAGTCGGCGGGTTATAAAAATAATTTTCCTGCTGCCCCATCCGCGCAGGCTCCCTTAGGCAAAGGCCTTCGTCATAAAGCAGCTGGGAGGCACGCGCTCCGCTATTAGTGCCGTTGTTATAAGATAAACAGAGCGTGAAAAGCACATTATGAAAGCAGTGGTGTGGCCAACATGCTTCACCTCTCAGCGCAGCAACAAATTTAAATGCAGATGTCGGTCTTTTACAGCTTTTGCAACGATTATCAATGCGACAATGCACAGCCTATGGCTGCAAATGTAAGGCTATTGAGATGCGACTGCGCTCTAGCTTAAGGGCCCATTCACACCACATCCGGATCATCTCCAGACCAGACCAGATTGTTTCCAGACCCAAAATGCATCCCAATGTATCCCTATGCTATTTCTGGCCTCTGTTCACACCAACGCAGTCCGTTCCAGACCAGACCAGAAAAATACTGCGTGTCTCATTTTGTCTGGTCTGGAATGCACCGGAACTGCGGGCAGGTTCGCACCATTTTCCAGACCAGATCCGGACCGGAAAATGGTGTGAACCCGCCCTTAGGGCTTGTTCGCACGACGTCCGGATTCTGTACCGGACAAGAACAGTACGCTCCTGCACTAAAAATGCATCCCAATGTATGCCTATGTGTTTTATGGGCTCCAATTCTCACCAACGCGGTCCGGACAGAAAAAATACTGCATGTCACATTTTCTTTAGTCCAGAAGCGCACCAACGCGTCAAAAACGCAACAAAAATGACTTCTTGCGATATCGCGCGGCAAATATGCATTTTAAGGTGCCCATCGTGCCTGTGACGGATCAAATACCCAAATGCAGCCACAAATATATGTTTTAAAGTGCCACGGTCATGGTTACACGCTTGGTGTTCCCTATACAACCTGGCAATTGTTGGCTGTGTCCGTGAACATGACGCAAATTGCTCAGATCTCAGGCAGATCACTGTTTGAAGGACAGGCTGGAACATTCCCCAGCAGGCAGCGGTGGAAAATCAGTACTTAGGAACTTTGGCAGAAAACCGCATGCTGTGGAAGCTGCAAGCCCAGGCACCACAGAGAATATCCTATTTACCAAGTGTATGCAATCAGCATGGCTGCAAGAATTGTGATGCTGCACGGTACAAATACAATTATGTTGTACTGTCGTTGTGTAAAACTGTAACAGTGTAAATTTGTTGATACATTGTAACATTAGCTGCCACTTTATCGAAATAGTGAAGTGCAGTACATTCTCGCTTTGTGACTCTTTCCCTTTAAAGGAGAACTATGGGGTCAGGGCTTTTCCCCATAGTTCTCCTTAGGGTAACGGGAGGACACAAACTAGCGTCCTCCCGTCACCCTAAGCTCAGTATACCGCGAGCAGCACTGAGACGCCGCAGCTGAAGCGGATCCCGACAATTGTGCCGGGATCCGCCCAGCTGCGTGACTGACAGCTGGCTCTGCCTATCTAGAGGCAGAGCCAGCTGTACCCGCCCCCTCCCCCGTCTGTTCCGCCTGTCAGCGCTGGCGGATCGGAGCGGGGAGGGGGGAATCCAGCCCCTCCCCTGTCACGGCAGAGAGCCGTGACAGGATCGAGAGGTGAGCGAACGCCGGTATGTGTTCGCTCACCTCCCGATCTACTGAGCCGACCTGTCACAGGTCGGCTAGAAACTGTGAGGTGAGTGAAAAGCACTCACCTCATAGTTCTCCTTTAAGGTGTTACAAATTGTGCTTTGCAACTGGGACAGCGCAGAGGTTGGAAAGGGCGACACTCGTGGACGATTGAACAACAGCCTGTCACATAGATCGAGATGCGTCTCATTCTTAACTGGTCATTATGACACATTGTGGAGCATTCTGCGGTCATCAGATGCTCGCAAATGCATCCTACAAAGGTATTAACGGCGGGTTTTAGGTTGTTTCTGAGTACCCCGGAATGGGTTTCAGCACTTTTTTTTTTGATCTGGTGGCCTTTTTTGTACATTTGCACCAGACATTGCTGATCAAGCTCTCATAAAACACCCAGGGAACAGCTAAAAAATGCTGAAGGGGTTTTCCAAGCATTTCATTTGCCGTCTATTTGCATATACGAGGCTCAATTCTCGAAGCTTTACACAAGGATAAGGATCTTTCATCCAGGTGACTAAAATTTTCATATCTCATTGAATAGCAAAATAAGGATTCTTATCTGGAGGTTGTAGTTTTGTGGACTGAACTTAAAGCCCATCCTTTCTGAACCTGTTGCCTAGAGGAACCCTTAAAATAATGTTCAGGACACAGGGAACCCCTGCAAAAAATAGTTATTTGGGGGTCAGAGGTAAATGCCCCTTTACATTGGTAGCCAGAGTGTAGAATTCCCCCCTTACATTGGTGGCCATTGGAAAGAATTCCCCCCTTACATTGGTGGCCAGTGGCTAAAATTCCCCCTTACATTGGTGGCGAGTGGAAAGAATTCCCCTTTACATCGGTGGTGAGTGAAAATAATTCCCCCCTACATTGGTGGCGAGTGGAAAGAATCCCCCTTGCATTGATTGGAAAGAATCCCCCCTTGCATTGATGGCCAGTGGAAAGAATCCCCCCTTGCATTGATGGCCAGTGGAAATAATTCCCCCCTACATTGATGGCCAGTGGATAGAATTCCCCCTTGCATTGATGGCCAGTAGAAAGAATCCCCCCTTGCATTGATGGCCAGTGGAAATAATTCCCCCCTTATATTGATGGCCCGTGGATAGATTTCCCCACATACATTGGTGGTCAGAGGAAAGAATTCCCCCTTACATTGGTGGCCAGTGGAAATATTACGCCCCTTACACTGGTGGCCAGTAGAACAAATTCCCCCTTACATTGGTGGCGAGTGGAAAGAATCCCCCCTTGCATTGATGACCAGTGGAAAGAATTCCCCCTTACATTGGTGGTGAGTGGAAAGAATCGCCCCTTGCATTGATGGCCAGTGGAAAGAATTCCCCCCTACATTGATTGCCAGTGGAAAGAATTCCCCCCTTATATTGATGGTCAGAGGAAAGAATTCCACCTTGCATTGATGGTGAGAGGAAAGAATTCCCCCCTTATATTGATGGCCAGTGGATAGATTTCCCCACATACATTGGTGGTCAGAGGAAAGAATTCCCCCTTACATTGGTGGCCAGTGGAAATATTTTGCCCACTACACTGGTGGCCAGTAGAACAAATTCCCCCCTTACAGTGGTGGTCAGAATGCCACTCTTATAGACACCTTAAAAGATCATTAGTACCATGTCGATGGCTCTAACCAGTGCCATTGGCCCCATAAATATGCAGACACCATCCTACGGAGGTCAATCAGGCACAGCTCAAGCAACCCTCTGGAAGAACCCTGATTGAGACTATCTGCTATAACCTGTTGTCTCTGGAATCAGCTGTAGGTAAAATATGGTAAGCACACGGTGAAAAGTTTTTTGCTGCACTACAGAAAAGCTTTCGGTTGCCCCGAAGGTCTTATGTGACCCTCATGAAACCCCTTCACGATTATTACAAGGATTCTGACATCTGTTGTAACAGTTGCTATTGTCATACTGTATATGTCCAAGCTCTGATCGGATCTTTGTTCATGCTCATTACATATCCAATAATACAGCACAAGCAACATCGGGAGATACGGAAAACCTTTACACTTCCAGCTGCTGCTAAGTCTGGCAAAACATGCTGAGGCTTGTAGTGGTGGGCAGCTTACCCACATAGACAGCTTCAACCCTCTTGTCTTGCATTGTATTGTAACTGTACCGTCTCCCTTTATATTGTAAAGCTCTGCGCAAACTGCTGGCACTATATAAATCCTGTATTATAATAATAATAATAATAATATTGGCAAAAAAATTTAAGTTGGTCTCTTACCTGGCCAGCGCTCCTGGCTGCTGCCGTACTCTGCATCTCTCCTCTTGGCACATGTGCCCTGCCCCTGTACCAGCGCCTGCAGGGGAAGCTCAGAGCCCGGGTTGGGGTAACAGCGCAGTCCAGAGGAGCAGCGGGCAGTGTACACCCCGCACGACTCGCCCTCCAGCCGGGCGCACACTGAGCAGCAGCCGCAGCCCGGGGCTCTCACCAGCTCCATGCAGGGCGGACGGGAAGATGGGCAGGCGGCCAGGCGTTCCGGGGTGCACTGTGGGCAGCGGAAAAGGACGTCGCTGTTTCCTGGGGCGCATAGGGCGGCCACAAAGAGCAGCAGGTGGCCGGAGAGCTGCATCCTTGCTGGATATTGGCACGGATGAGATGGCAACGTCTTCTCTTCTGCCCCTGGTCAAGGGATCTGGTGTCCCCCTTCTGCTGGTCTTGCTAAAGCTTTTCTTCTACCTATGCTCTACTGCTTTAGGAATCTACTGCCCCTGTTTTTCTCTTCAGCCTGGATCTGTTGCCCCTTTTCTTCCTTATTTCCCTGGCTATACCTGTCCCCCTTCCTGATCCCTCTAGCTCCCAGGTCTTGGGATCTGTTGCAATCTGCCCCTCTCCCAGGGATGTATTGCCCCTGTCTGAGTCCTGTCTGGATATGAAGTCTTCTGCACTTTCTCTCACTTCTCTGTCTGCACCTTTCCTAGATCTGGTTTTATTCCTGCCCTTCTCTGCTCTCCCCTCCTTCATTCCGCCCTCTCCTGTCTCCTCTCCGCAGTCTGCCTCTATATATCTGTCTCCCCTCGCCTTCATTCCATCTATACATACTATGATTATGTGTGGACCTGCTTCCACTCTCCCCTGCCTTCCCCTAAGTAAAAAGAATATGCAGATCCTCTGTCTGCTCTCCTGTTCACATACATTGTGTCTCTTCCATTGTGTCATCTGTCTGCTTTCCTATAATGCACAGTGCCTAAAACATCGTATATCTGGGTCTGTCTGTGTTCTCTGATACAAAGCTGTGCTAGGATAGTATATTAGAGTCTATATTATAATGGTGGGTGTCTTTATTGGAAGTGAACACATTAATGTGTATATTGCATATATGTTTTTTTATAATAAAGTGAATATATATATATATATATATATATATATATATTGTTGAGTGGTGGGCCACACAATGAGTACCTTCAGTGCAAATGTATCAGGCGTCAACGAACAATATCATCCAAAGGATAAGGATGCGGCACAGATATAGTTGCATTTTCTTTTTCGATTCAGGTATACCACAACGGTTTTGTGCGTCCTTGCCCTTTCTGAGGTATACCTGTAAACTTGAGAATGGGTGAGGACGCCTAAAACCGTTGTCCTGTTCTCCCAGTGTACGATACCTGAACTGAAAAAGAAATTGCAGCCATATCTGTGTCGCATCCTTATCCTTTGGATGATATTGTTGGTGCTGTACTGTATAGGGACACTACCTGCAAGCTTGCTGCCAAATCAGCTGCTGAGGAGCTCTATGCATTCTCACACACTGGACAAAGCTTCATCCAATTTCCAGCCACCACGGTCCTGATACATGTTCTCCCTTAGTAAGCCCTGATGAAGGGGGTATGAGCCCCAGAAATACTTTGTTATTTCTATATTGCCCTCTCAACCCTACATTGAATAAAGATGTATCTGGACTGTTAAAGGGAGTTCGGCACTTCAATTCACAATTCTGCATTCCACAAACCAAGGAGACGGAGGAGATCCTCTGGGATGCAGAAGCTGTCTTTCAGATCACCTATAGCGACTCTTTCACATTATAATTGGCCAGCCACCCCAATAAGAGGAGCGCTTTTATTCCACTACTTGCAATGCCTTATGGGATTTGTAGTTTCAGAACAGCTAGAGTATTACGGTTGCATACCCTGAGTTATATGGTAATAGTGCGTTTTTAGAGAAGGTACTAATCAGACTAAGATATATATAAATCTATGCAAACACTCCTGTCTGTGTTTTTTTGTCATAGCGCCTGTCTTTTTCAGGGCCCGAAGTCTTTCTCAGACAAAGCAAGTTAAAGTATTATAGCCAGGGCCGGCCTTAGGGGTGTGCGAGCCGTGCGGCCGCACAGGGTGCCATGGCAACAAGGGCGCCGTGCGGCCGTCACAGCTCGTCCTGTGGGCGGCTTCTCTCCCCCTCACCGCTGGCCATCCGATATGACAGCGCTCCCTCGTCCGCCCCCCCACTTGGGGGGGGGGCGCAGGAGGGAGCGCTGCCTGCTGTCAGGATGGCGGAGCGGTGAGGGGGAGAGAAGCCGCGCCCGCAGCTGTCAGGATGGCCGAGCGGGGAGGAGATCGGAGCCGCTGTCATCCTGTCAGTTTCAGGATGACAGCGGCTCTCTGCGTGGCTGAGCGGAGGATCGGTAAATATCAGTGATATTTACCGGTCCTCCGTGTGAGAAGGACAAACACTGGAGTGATCGTCTGATCACTCCAGTGTTTGTAAATAACTGGGGACACATAGCGCTATGTGTCCCCAGTTATGAATGAACAGCATGTGATTTACATCACAGCCTGTTCATTCAAGATTTCACCAATGGGGAGAAGCACTCAGTACAGAGGCTCCTCCCCATTCAGAAACAGCTGATGGTAAATATTTGAATGGGAAGCCTCTGAGAGCTTCCCATCCATTGAGTGCTGAGGCTGTAGAAAAAGAAATTGAGGATTTGGTGTCCTCAATTTCTTTTCTATTTTACAAGGGAAATGTCAGGGGTCTGTTTGGACCCCTAATATTTCCCCGAAGCCCCCCAACAGTAAAAAATAAATAAATATGAAAAAAATAATAAAAACATATTTTAAAAAAGTGAAAACTGCCCCCCCCCTCCCGACACACACACACACATATTATTAGACAAGTGCGAAAGACAAAAAATTCATTTCAGATGAAATGAACGAAAACTAAAAAAGTTTTCATTTGTTTCATCAAACAAAACACATTTATATGCTATTTTGGATTCAGCCATTGGCGTGCTCTGGAGGCAGGGCGCATGACGTCATATAACACCGCACGTGTTGGGCGCCGCCATCTTGGTGTATATCTAGGTATACACCAAGATGGTGGGGCCAATATCGGCGTGTGAGGTCACCTGACGCCACGCATGCATGGCGTCATGTAACGTCATGCTCCCTGCCTCCAAGATGGTGGCACGCATTCAGAGAACACTCTGGTGGCCAACATGGCCGCCGCACATTCTCAAACAAATTATTATTATTATGTGTCTGAATACAATACAGACCCCTGGCTTCATTTACATGTAGCCCGGGGTCTGTGTTCTGTTTTTTATTTTTACTTTTCTAGATGCACTTACTTGAAAAAAGGGGTCAGCATGACGACCTGACACTTTATTTTTATAGACTCTATTGTAGTTTGACATTTATTGTTTACCTTCTGTTGTTTTATTTGATAAGAATACTTCTATTGTGCCTACAAGTTTAATACCTTTGAATAAAAGTTTTATTTTTATCACACTTTTTAATATGTTTCTTTGCGGCTTAACAAAATAGGAGTCTTTAAATGGTGCATATATTGGGGGAAATGGGTGTGGTTACGGGGGCGTGGCCACTAAAGGGTGTGGCCACTGAGGGGCGCTGTAAAGCTTTCTCGCACAGGGCGCCTAAAGGCCTAAGGCCGGCCCTGATTATAGCCTAAGCCTAGCCTAGTACTAAGTGTAATCCCAATGTCCTAGTTCAGGCAATTCATGTTATAGGGTGACAACGTCTCTGTCCCTGTCTCCAAATTGTTCTCAGTCATTGCCGTCCTGTCCCACAGTCTTCTGATGCAAAATCCAAGTGTCTGTTTCAACACACATTGCGCAGACACGGTCCACTGTTGTCAATCTCAATGCTTTGAGATACACAGTAACCCAATGTCATTGATTTAGGGGTTACATCTACTTTGTAATCTACTTAGCTAAGTAAGAGGGCAAATATAATGCTTTCACAGATAATAGGGATGCATCAATACCGGATTTTCTTTATCGAGCACCGATACTTTGCTTTCGCTACTCGTCAATACCGAGTACCGATACCGGTGCTTCCGCTACCATGGAGCCAGCTTCCCGGGCAATCTGATTGCCCGAGAAGCTGGCTCCATGTTGTCTAACCTGCCTAATTGAGCTTGGCCGGGAAACTGGCTTCCCAGGCAATCAGCAGGAAGCCAGGCAGCGAGTAATGATCCCCCTCCCAGTTTCCTGATTGGCCAGGAAGCTGGCTCCGTGCTGATTGACTGGAAAGCCGCCATCCCAGCCAATCGGCATCGAGGCATCGGAACATGGAGCCAGCTTCCCATGTAATCAGGAAACTGGGCGGTGAAGAATAACACGCCTCCCAGCTTCCTGATTGGCCAGGAAGCCGGTTTCCCGGGCCAATCAGCATGGAGCCGGTTTACCGGCCAATCAGGAAGCTGGGAGGCGTGTTATTCTTCGCCGCCCAGTTTCCTGATTACATGGGAAGCTGGCTCCATGTTCCCGCACGGCACTGCCAGTCAGAGGAAATCGTACTCTGACCGGAAGTTCTGGCATCGGGGAAGGTATCAGAACTTTTGGGTGAGTACAAGTACTCACCCAAATACTCGGTATCGGCACCAATACCAATACTAGTATCGGTATCGGTGCATCCCTAATAGAAAACTAAGCCAGAACACTTATGATCATGTGAGAGTGAATATTCAGAAGCCCAATCGTGATTGGTTCTTTTTAAATTGCCGTTATGAGACTCGTGCAGCTGCTACTTATTATTGTTATCATCATAACCATCATCATCATCATCTTTATCATCATCATCATCACAATAATTTTCAATACATCTGTAACTTTAAGCTTGCACTTTGTCTTCCCGAGTTCCGCCAAACATCTTTTTTTTTTTTATTAAGATGAAGATAATAATGATAAATTCATATTTTACGTATAACAGATATTACAGCAGCATAAATCCTGACTTTTACTGGATTTACCCTCTCAGAAGCCATTGTATTGGAGACTTTATTCTCATCATGGGGGAGACACAGTACTTTTTGAACAGTTGACATCCTTTCGGAATTCCCACAGGAGGATCAGGTGTAAGTATGTATTCTAAAAAAAAAAGTATACATTGATGTCAGCGGCATCACTACAAAACCATGGAGCCCCATAGCAACATTTTAATTCTAAGTGGCCATTGTTACGCCACTCAGTGACGTCCTTAGACTGCAATGGCTCTAATGAAGAAGTGTGATGTGGTCCCTGGAAGAATATTTCTGGATAGAAATACAGGCAGCTTCACTTGTCAATGGTCAATTAATCTTCTATACAGGAAAACCTCTCTTATGTACGATGGTCTTGCCTCCCTTGTTTGGCTTGGCTTGGTCTTGCCATGTTGTGCATGTTGTGATGGTTCTAGAGTATGGGTTCTAGAGTCTCTGACTTT